TTTTTCAGCACACAAAAAAATACAACTACTAAGTTGTGATTTATCATGCTCTTTTTGTTTACCACTAGCGCATGCTGATGACGTTTTATTCTTACAGTAACGTGCATAGTATTGTACGAATCAGCTGCTGTCTTCATCGTACAGTCTACACGCGTTGCACAGTGTGACATGCAGTGATCTTATAGGATTGCTAAAATCGTGCAGTGTGTTTTGGACTTTACACTCCCTTATCCTTCTGTTTAAAAAACCCACAAAAGATACAAAGAGAAATGCTTTAGTAAAGGGGTGTCAAATTCAGCTCCTGGAGGACCACCTGGAGCATTTTGCTCCAACCCTAATTAGACACACCTGAACCAGCTAATCGAGGTCTTCAGGATTACAAGAAACTGGTTGGTGCTAGACTCTGGACACTGGCCATTTAGTATTAGAGGGAGATGTTTAGATATCAGGATTTACCGCTAAAGAAAACCAAAGAAAACCCTCTCGTACAAAAACACATTTTAAAACTGATTTGTTTTTAAATTAGTTTTTTTTTTTTTTTTTTTCCAATTGAACTATATTTAAATACCTTTACTGGCCATTTAGTATTAGAGGGAGATGTTTAGATATCACATACTTGCGCTAACCGACTGATTTCTGCATTATTGTGAATTCTTTCATCATAAACTACAAACTGCAGATATGATGTAAGAGATTAATTTAGCCTCATAGACCGCTTCACTGGTTGTGATAGAAGTTTTTGCATAATTTGCGCTGGACTAACATCATAAACTGATACGTTTGTCTGTAGTCAGAGTATGACATGCCATTTCTCCAAACCATAGACTGTTTTTATGTATTCTATTCTCTTATTTGACTGATTATAACAATATAAACAGCAATAATTAACAATAATTGTTGTCATAATATTGCAGCCCAATCAGTTCCTATTTTTTAAATGTAGAATATACCATTTTAAATATTTTGTTATTGGTAACAGTTTTGATCGATTTTAGTAATTGGCTAAATTTAAATATTTGACATTAAAGATAACACGGATACAATTAATAAAGTATGGCTAATTATAAAGTTTGCCCTTACAAAGGTTTAAAAAAATGCCCCTGGAAATCAGTCCCATGGGGCAAATATTACCCCTCAATGGAAAAGTTTATTTCTGACCCTGGAACATATTATGCAGACGTAATAGTGCTTTCAGGATTTGTATTTATGAGTTGGGAGTTGTGAAGCAATATATATGATGTCAGGTGTGTTCAGGTGTTCGTTTTATTTTAAAAAGTTTCCCCAAACTTTGGAATTAGGGATTTCTTGGTGTACCATTGAAGTATAGTTGACACATTAATGTTGTTTCAACATTTACTTGGTACATCAGATGGCAACACTCTTTTATTTTGACATCTCAGTTGTATTTTCAGGGTTTCAGCAAAAGTGATTTAGAATCAACATGTAACATTGATCCAACAATATATTTTTTTTTCATTCTGAACAATATTATAGATGATTCTTGTTAATTTCAATGTTGATACAACAGTGCTGTAGAATGAACATCATAGCCGTTGATTAAATATTCTGAAATCACAACCTTGTTTCAGCGTTAGTTGCGGGTGCAAAAAAGATATTGAACCAACATCACTTTGTAACATTAATTAAATGCAATTGGCATTTACACATTAACATTGACTTAATATGTTTCAACGGTTTCATGCTATCTGGCGAGCGTTTTGAGCCACCTTTCAGCAGG